AAAAAAAAAAAAAAAAAAAAAAAAAAAAAAAAAAAAAAAAAAAAAAAAAGGGGGGAGGTAGAAATCAAGCTACCATTAAAATTAAATCCCAGAGAGTGATTTGTAAATAACATTCAAGGAGCTGAGAAAAGGAGTAAAGTAGGCCATTGGGAACCTACTGTGGAAAAATAAATCCAATTAAACACCATTATCTTATGTATTGCAAATGAAACTTGTGCTTGGATATGAAATTAAAGTTGCTGAGGCTGTTTCGGATGTAGGCTTTTGAGGAGTTTTCCAATTTTAGGTGTTCTTTTTTTTTAAGCAGAATTTTCAATGACAAATATTTTTGTCTGATGGAAAACCCAGGGCTCTTTGGTTTTATGATTATTTTTATTATATATCCTTAAATCCCACAGGCAGGCAGTGTTAATTTTTTTCATAGCCGGCTCTGTTTACAGCTGGTTTTGAATTAGGAGCCCATTAAGCTAAATGATAAAGCAAAATCTGCGAGTGAGCAAGGCCAGGATTCCCATTACAAATACACCTCCTAATCAACTTGCCAAGGCCATCCTGCTTTAGAGCTTTAGTTGATCCTTTAAAACACTTTCCTCTCTGTCTCTGAAGCTGTTATTTTTTTACTGCTCCCCAGTCTCCTGAGATCATCTTGAAGGACATCTTGATGTGACATCACTCCTGTGAGGAGTCTCCAGGAATCTGTGGTGCCAAATGCTGGTGTATCTCCAGTGGCCCAGGACACACCAAGAGGATTTTGCAGAGGGGGAAAGTAGAGCTTAAATATTTTGGACCTCACTCATTTTCTGAAAGTCCCTACCAGCTTCTCCATTGTGGGCCTTCAGCACAGATATTGGTGCCTATGACCTGTGCTTTTACTTTGCTGCTCACCTTCAAAGAAACCTTGGCCATAAAGTTTTGTTAGACCTTTTCTTTCCTGTGAGTTGACCTTCTGAAATGTAGTCTTCAGCCCTCAATTAAACCATTCCTCAATAACCAGAATCACAGCCTTCTTCCTCTTTCTCCTTCGATTTTTCATTTCTGTTAATCCTCAGTAACACTTCCCTGCCCTGTGGGGTTTTGAGCATTAATTTAAAAGGAAGGTGATTTGAGATGAGGAGCGCTGCAGTCCCGCTAAGCATTGCTATCATTAGCTAGCTGCTGTGGAAACATCTTGCTTTCAGTCAGGCTGGAGACTCAGAAGCAGCCCATTCAACTAAACAAATGGGACTTGAATTTGATGAAACCGTTTCCTAAAATGCTGGTGGAGCCCAGCTGATTCAACTCTCAACTGAGTTGTCCTTGACAAATTTTCCAGCCCTCCTGATTTTGCAGCCAGGCACTCAAAATGCCTTGAAATGTCTTCTGGGRTGATGCCACATCATCACATCTTTCTGTCTGCATTGTAACATCATGTTATAATGGGCTGGCACAAGACCTGGCTGTCACCAAGCAGGGGCCTTACTGCATCACCAGGTGCCTTTTCAAGAGGGTTTTTCTTCTGGAAAAAGAGAATTTGCTCATTCCACACCATATSTGCCAATGGAAGGGCAAGTGTGGCCACCGTTGAACCTCAAAGGGACCTGTCACAATTATGGCACTTGCTCCATCTGTGTCCTTCATTGTCCCTTGTCCCATTCCTTTGAACATGGACTCCTTCCCCTGTGTTTATCACCTGGTGTCCACTTCAGAATGGCTTAGCCAGGCTGATGGGCTTCAAAACCTGGGAGTCTTCCTCACAGGAGTTTTGTGAGGAGGGCTTGCCAGAGCTTMCCAGGGGCTTTCTCAGCGTGTTTAGCTTGATGCCCTGGGAGCTGTGCAAGGGGGATGTGGTGTTTCAGAAAGCAGCACAYCCACATCTGCCCACAGGGCAACAAGTGTGTCAGCCTGATCAGCCAAGCCATGGCCATCACTGGATTGACACAACATTTACAGCAGGGGTGTGTTAGCAATTAGCAGAGTGGGAGGGAAAAGGAGAATGAGGAATCTTTCTGCCCAAACATGCACTGACTGGAGAATGACCCAGTGTGGCTGTAGATCGTAGATAGTCTCCATTTAGCTGTAGCCTGTGTAGCCTGTACTGTCACTAATGCCTTCATCAGGTGGGTGGGAGCTGGGGGAGGGAGAGGAGAGATGTTCATTGGGTCTGATGGCTGGAGTGGCTGAGCAGAGACCAACTTTCTGTCTAACACCCTCTCAGTCCTCTTTCCTCTCTCTGGGTGTCCTAGCTGTGGAGAACAGAGCTCCTCTGTTGCAGTGGCCACCTCCCACCCACCTCTGCTCCCCTTTCACTTTCTGTAGTGCATGGCCCTGCCCGTTCTGCTGAGCTGGCTGCTCTCAYGTCAGCAGGGTCTGCTTTGGAAAAAGGGAGGACATCTGAGTCCATCAAAGCTAAGGAGAGAAGCATGGGGATTCTCTCCCATGGGGGAGAGAGAACAGAGACAACTGTTCTCAACAGAGACAAATTGGGGGATTACAACRGAGACTACAGGCTGTAAAGGGTTAACTCTCTATGGGGGGTTTGCTGACTTGGCAGTCAGCCCTCCCAGTATGATGTGACCAGCAAATAACCCAACCACCTCTGGAGTCCTCTTCATTGAGGTCTGAGGGTGCTTTCACATTTGGGCTCCAGGAAAGGGTCAGTAAAATTCCAAGTATTTTTTTAAAAAAAAAAAACTGGTTGGCAGAGCTTGGGAAGCCATAGCATAAACAGGCCAAGATAGATAATCTTGTCTTTCTCTGATCCTRACAGAGAAATAGGGAAGAAATAACGAGCAGAAAAAAAAAAATAATGGCCATAGGGACCAAGCACATGAGGGCATATTTGAAACCATGTCAAGTCTGGTATTGCAATAAATCCTAAGGCATTCAAGGGACATGGTTCAGCTGTCCTGGTCACTCCAGTGATGTGTGACTGACTGCTCAGAGCATGCCTCATTCCCCTAAAAGCTGCCTGAGCCCTGGGCATTGGCAGGGAAGCACAACTCACAGCTCTCCTTGCTTCCCACTGGTGGTATCCATCCAGATTTTCCAGAGAGCTCACTGTGCCTTGGGTTAAGTGCAGCAGGAATTGGCTCTGCAGGGTGGATGCTCAGACAGACCAAGCTCCTCTTGCTGCTCAGGGTCAGTGTCAGTCCTTGCCAGGGCTGCAGGCACTGAGGGCTGGGGCTGTGCTGGGTGCCAAGGGAACAGGAAGGACAAGGCAGGGTGAAGGCARGCAGCCAACATCATAGTAATTGCTTCTTGCTATTTCATAGGAAWGAGGCAAGGCATGGATCTGTATCCTATTTTGACTGTGTGGTTAAGAGTGAGTAATAGCAAAGTCCGAGGTTATGATAGTGTCTTCCAAAAGGAGGTGGTATGGATACAGAAACAGCATCTTAGGGAAAAGAGACATGCCAGGAATTGATGCCAAGYTACCAACACTGCTTAGTGGGTTTTTTTTCTGAATAGCAACAGACAGCTTCTGTTTGTTGAGATTGCTTAAAAAAAAAAAATTAAAAGCCAATCTGCTTCTTCCCATCCCTCCCCCCCAAAAAAGTGTAGAGAAAAGAAACAAGCTTTCTTAGAGAAAAAAGAGATGCCGGAGAAGAGAAATTGCTTTACTGCCTTCTCTTTCTGTGCTTTTTGTTCATTATTTTAATTTAGATTTATTTATTCCAAAATGAGCCTTCGGTTGTATATATTTGCATAGTACAGTGCTGTGGAGGATCCAGGAGTGAAAAA